TACTTCACTTTGGCTTATTTTTTAATGGCAGTGGGCTGCTAGTTGGACCCATTACATACACAGCTCTTCCTCTTCCCCCATTTGAAAGCAGCTCAGCTGCAGAGCCATCCAGTGCCATCGGTTACATTGGAGCGGCCGTGGTGAATAGGAGGAGAGAAGCCACAGGCTTGGCGATGGCCAGGTTGGCCCTTACCTGGGAAGAGCGGCGAATGTAGGAGGGACATCAGCCTGCGAGGATAGTGGCCAGAAGCCTCACACCCCAACAGAACTAAGATTTTTGGAAAAAAGAAGGTTATGGACCACAAACAAGATAGTTTCTGGAAGCTCTGCTTGTCATCCAGCCTTTGGTAGCTCTTATTTGAATATTAACTCCTTGGGTACAGGGATGCTTCCGAGTGCGGCTTGAGAGGAGCAGACGGCCGAGGCGTTCCGTGACATGGGAGACGTCTCCATCCCTCTTTCCTGGGGAGTGGTCAGCGTATTGGGGCCAGGACCAGAAGACATGCCCACTTTAGGGAAGCTTTTTTCTCAATGACAGAGATGGAGGAGCCTTTCCTGTTCTGGGGAGGCCTCCCTGACTCTGCTCTGAGGGATGTGCACCAGGCCCTGCCCTTTCCTTTCTACTGGAGTGGGTATTGCAGCTTAATGAGGGGACTCCACTGTCAGCTCTTCCAGCGTTGAGCCAGTTTCCTCACAAACTCTGGCCGTGGTGCTGATTATTTCTCTATGTGTATCATAAGCAACAAGGCCAAATTCTGAGATTAAATGGAATGAGTAATAAAGACCAGCGATTCATGATACTGGGTTTATTCAGGAAATTTCAGTTGGAGTTCAGGAAACACAGGGTGGTCAAGAAATTGGTGGCATCCTCACAGATTGGGTCCACATGAAAATCAGGCAAAGGGAGTGCTGCTGTATTTTAGAATGGAGCTTCTTCTTCATACAAGGATCAGCCTAGCACAGGTCGTGGCGTCCAAGCCAGACTCCTGAACCCCAGCCACGACTGAGGGTGATGAGGATTTGGGCTCTAACTGTTGCTATTGATTATTTTGGAGCAAACAGGGAATGTTTGATGTGGCTACTAAGAGACTGGAGATGGACAGAAGTTTGCCTGATTTTTTGGGGGGGAACAAATGGGAATTCTCTAAGCCATATATACTTGTGAATGTCATGTTTACCCCAAGGAAAATTCTGGAAAGAATTATTAAATGGGTATTTTGTAAGCACTTAAAAAGGAAATTATAGGAACTAGAAGCCATCAATGATTTGGCAAGAATAAGTCCACTTCCTTAGCTCCCACTGACTTCCTGCTTCCATTCCCACTGAAACTGCTCTTCTAAGGTTCCTGGTGGTCTCAGGCATTGCATCTGGAGGCCATTTCTCATCCCACTTCCTCTCTTCAGCATTTCACAATCGACCGCCTCAACAGAAAGTTCTTTCCTTTATTAGGGAGACCACTGTATCACAAGGGGTGCCCCTTAATTATTGGGTCATGTACTTCCCCCCACCTCTGATGCTGTGCACAGTGGTCAGTAGGAGGTGCCTATGTGATACTTTTAATGGGGTTGGGGATACTAGAAGGGGCCGTAGGGTATGTGTGAGGGATTGTAGAATCGTAGCTTATGAGTTCTGCTGCTGCACTCCTGCCTATAATCAGCTGGCCTAAAGCACTCCAAAATGACAGAGAAAGGAAGAGGAGCTGCTTCTGTGGCAAGGATGGGAGAGAGCTATGTCTCACTTTGTCACCTGTGCATCCTCGTGGGCCTGAGCTATGATGTCATTATGGACATGAGAGCCTGGATTCTCCTACCTGGAACCATTGGTTAGGAAATGATGTATCAGAAGGGCTGAGACAGCTCATTCTTTTATCTCTTTGGATCCATCTGCTTAAGAATTAGAAGGAAACTGACCTCTGGCTCAGTTTGGACCTTCAGCGAGATCTAGAAGAATGGTTTTAGTCGAGAAGGAAGAGAAAGTTACTTTCCCACAATTCTTCTGTATGTTCCCACCAAACTGAAAGATCCCAGTAGAGTTACTTGGATGGAGTCATACCAAGGAGAAAGGAAGGGGGCTTGCGTCTTGCAGCAGTCCATGCATACAAGAGGAATGTTTGGTAGGCAGACAACAGTAGGCCAAAGCCCAGGTAGAAGAAAAGTGTAGTTATCTAGGGAGAGATAATCAATCAGGGAGCAGAGGCTTCCTGGAGAGGCCTCGAGTCATTGGTATTAAAATGTGGTAACGGAATTTAAGAAATGTAAGACAAGTCTACAGAGTTGTGATCTATTCAGTTCACATTGTGTGTCTGCTGTGTGCCAGGTGCTGCTGGGCACTTGGGGCACAGAAACAGGGGGTGTGCAGGGCACTGGGCTAGCTTTCTCAGGTGCTGGAGTCACTAAGAGGTGCTTGGGAAAATGGTCATTTTGTACAGCGTCCTGCTGCGGAAGGGCCAGCCAGGGGCAGAGCTGGGAGAGCCAGGGGCTGGGCATGTGGGAGGCAGGGGTGGGTGAGTTCTGAGGAACAGTAGGAAGTGAAGGGGGAGGCCAGAGAATGGATGAGCGCTAGACCAGTGAGATGGCTGGGCCGCTCTGAGGCTGGGCAGAGGTCTTTGAAGGAGGAGGGGACTGTGCACTGAGAAATGTGATTGTTTCTGAGATCTAGGATAGCAGTGTGCAGCCTTAGGAACGAGGTCAGTCCAGTATTTGAAAGCGCTGACCAATTGGAGTTAACCCTAATGGGTGATGCTAGCCCTCAAGTGCAAAGAATCTGTAGTCTGCCCCAAATGCTCTCCTTTTGTAATAATAATATCACCTGGTGCATGGGGAGTCGACCAGGTGGTCAGGCAGACTTGGGTTCAGATTTTGCCTCTGACGCACTGGCTGTGTGACCCTGGACAAGTCGTCGGACCTCTTGGTATCCCAGGTAACGCTAAGACGATTAGTTACAAAGAAGATGCTGATCTGCATTGGTAGAAAGAGTTTTCTCATCCGGGTGCTCCCTATGACCCAGGAGAAAGTGTTTTCTAACAAATTGTGAGTGTGTGGGTTGGATTCCCACACTGGGGGTGGGGAAGAAGAAGCAACTGTGGGGAAAGAGCTTCCACCATTTATACACTGGAGGACAGCAATATACACACTCATGTGGAGAGAACTCACACTATCCTTTGCCATCATCAGAGGACACAAAGGGACAGAGCAGGGACATGAGAGAGGAAGCAGCTTCTGCGGGCTCCCACAGTGAGCCAGGAGTCAGAGGGCCCTGACTCCGAGGTGGACTCCATTCTTGGCAGTCCTGAAGCGTCACTTCTCAGGTGGCTTTTCTTTTAAAAAAGAAAAAGGAAAAAAAAATCCCAAAACATTAGGAATATCTATTCATTTTCAGAATTATTCTTTGAATATATGAAGTGTAATCTGCGTACATCTATAAGTTTTAAGTGTGCACAGATGGAATAAATTCCTAGTAATTCACTGGAAAAACCGTAGACTTAACAAGGTTCTAACCCTTCAGAACATGAAGCATTTATTACAGCAACTGTTAGTCACTATTTGAAGTTTGATTTTTATTAGTTTAAAATGAGTGTTTCAGTGGCCCTCCTTGGAAGGAAATTCTAAGAATACTTGGGAAATCAACACATTGACCCTTTCTAGGTCACCCTGTAATCTGCCAAAAGAGGGGAATAAGGCACAGTAGCGTGGGTACAATCCAAAGTCAAGTTTCAGAATGTTACCTCCAGTGGAGAGCTGAGCGAGCTCTTTGGTCAGCCAGTGACCTTTCCACTTGTGTCAGGCACAGTACAGGTGCTGTTGGAGGTGTGAGTGATGTCACCCACTCTCGCAGGAAAACTCATAATTCAAACTTGGCAGATCAGTGAAGGAGAAAATGATTTTAACCCATATTTTATGTCTACACCTGTTTTGCTAATTACATTGTGTCTGTCAACATTTGGGAAAACATTTGAAACACTCTCTTAAGGCACCTTTTGATTCTGGCTTGTTAGAAAGTAATTGACACCATCTGAAAATTCCGCGGGAGTGCTGTCTCCACAGCCAGAGCCTACAAAGGGGAACAGCTTCCTGCCTGAGCTCTTACAAACACTCTCCCCCCCCATCCATCCCTATGTGCACCCCCATATGTAAATAGAATCAGCCCCTATATAGTGTTTGGATAACATAAAGCTGGATGCAGCCTGGGTGGTGGAGCCAGCACTCCGATTTGCATTCACAGTTGGTTGTGGGCCTTTGAATGGCTGAGTCTATAAACTGGCTGCTCTTTTGTGTTGCCTAAGCAGCTAGGTGGTATAATGGGTAGAGCCTGGGACCTGAGATCAGGAAGACCTGAGTTCAGATTTGGACCCTGTGTAAGCTGAACAAGTCACCTGCTTTCAGTCTCAATTTCCTCATCTGTAAAATGGAATAACAGTAGCACCTCATTTATAGGGTTTTTGTGAGGGTTGGACGAGATAACATGTCTAGCACTTTGCTGACCTTAAAGTGCCATCAGATGTTAACCACCATCATCGTCGCCATTATTACTCTGAAGGAGGACTTACCTTACCGCTTACGGCATCTTGCTTTAATTCAAGCTGTGGTATATAGGAAAATGTCAGAAATTGGTGATTATGGGCAGTGTTTTGGAATTGGGGTGTGTAATGGCTTAGTTTCATTGTCCACTGAGGATGTATCAGGCTCTTGGTTGTGATGGCAAAGCAGTTTGAAATGGGTAAAATAGCATCTAAAATCCAGGCAACGGAAACGGTAAGTATTCTTCCCTAAAGTTGTTTCATCTTTGTGGACACCCCTTGCACTCTGCCACAATTTTCCTTCACGCATAATATCAGTTTGCCAGGCCTAAAATTGTATTAGGATTGAGATGTTAGCATAATCCTAAGATTGAAAAATATAGTAATAAATCTGGTGTCCTGGTTTCAACAACAAATTTCTGCAGTAAAATGGCTCTCATCCATTGAACTTGTTTCTCAGGCAAATGTGTTTTTTTTTTTTAAGGGTGTGTTGAGGATAAATCCAAAGAAGTACCATGAGGCTTTCATTCCTTCTCCGGTAAGTTAAATAACTTAATCCACGTTGTCACACTTAAATTGTTAGATATACACTGATTTTGGTTAATTACATGTGAATTCACAAAAGCCAATTTTGTGTTAGAAATGAAAAAGAAATGAGCTAAGTCAAGTTGAGGACGGGCATGGGCTCTCTAATACGCTCTGTGTCCGTTTTACCAGGCTGTGAGGGCCCACTTGCAGTGGAAGTCGGGACGCTTGCTTGCTGGCCTGCAGAAAGCAGCTGAGCCCAGGTGGAGGCCCACCAGTTAGTGTAATTGGACTCCCTTGGTTTACAGCTGAAAGGATTTATGGTTTTTTCCAGTGGGTTAAGTTAATTTCTCCTAAACAAATATGCTGTCTACTTTTGATGGCCTCTATGATCTAATCTGTAAAGTTTGTCCAAAAATAACGTGTGGCACCTTTTTTAAAAAAAACAAAACAAAACAAAATTGGTCCAAGTTCCCCTTTTCTGCAGTTGGAAGAATTTCCCGGGTGTCTCTGCTTTGGATCACTGTGCTCCTTCCTTACGTCAGTGACTCATGAACAGAGAAGGGCCTTTGCCATGTCAGGGGCCTGTGTTGGTCACGGTGAGCTGCATCTGGGAGAGCCGGCAGCGTTGCTTTGGATATGACTTAGTGGTAGACGTGGAAGAAGATGAGGGAGGCATGTTCCCAAGCCTTCACTTCCGGGAACCCTAGCTCCCTCAACTCTGATTTGAGGAGAGGGGACTGGATGATGTCTGAAGGTTTCTACCAGTTAGGAAAATGCTGATTTTATTAACATTCCCTGTTTATACCTTTATACCTTTTCTCTTTGGAATAAATAACAAAGGGTAACACTTAGGATTTGAATTTGTTAATTATGCTAAAGTAAGTTTAAACTTCAAACAAGATATATCAGCTGACTGTTACCTTTAAATTCTGTCTAGTGCTCAATGCATATTATTATTATTACTCTTTTAAAAAAAACTAAGTCATCTTATTGAGAACTATTTAGCCCATTGCCTCCTTTGCCTTCCAGAAGGTGGGACCTAGTAACGACATCAGCATAATAACTATCTTAAGAGAGAGAGGGAGAGACGCACAGCTTCTGGGAATAAGGAGGTGATCTCGTTGTCTTCTGCCCTGATCACCGTACCATATTGGACTAGTGGTTCCGTTTTGTTTAAGTTCTGTTTAGGAAAGACAGAAGCTAGAGAACTTTCTGAGGACGGCAGTGAGGAAGGTCACGTGTCTCCAGGTAATGGTGTGTTAGGATCCATGGAAGGAATTAGGCATGCTTTCCTTAGACAAGCGATGGCCTGGGCTTGGGAGGGTCCAGGTAGGGTCTGACGGCTCCCACTTCATGTGTTGGAAAGCTTTCAGATAGAGGAGGTGTCACACTTGTTCTTTGGGGCCACAGAGTAAAGCAAGGAGCCATGGTGGGGAGCTCATAGACAGGTCAGTATAGGCTGGAGGTCAGGAAGAACTTCCTGACGTTGAGAGAGCTCCTTTGGCATGATAGCTGCCTGTGGAGGTGGGAGTAGTCCGGTAGAGGCTGGATGCCCAGCCAGCTGTCAGGATTACGGAGGGGGGGGGGGGTGGGGTTCCTTTTCTAGGTTGGTTGGAGAAGTTGGCCAATGACTAGATGACCCTTCTAACTCTAAAATTCTTTGGTTTTGGTGGCCGTGGCTCAAGAGTCAGAGAATTTATGAGTTCAGAGGATCCTGGCTAACGGAAGCCCCAGCGGTCATCTCAGGCAGCCCATACAAGAATCCCCTCCACAGATTTGTCTTTGTCCTAATCTGTGATTTCATTGTTGTGGGCTGCTTCTAGTGTGGATGCTTCTTCCCCTAATGTAGATTGGAAACTCATCAGGAAGTGACAGTCTTAGAGGATTGCCTCGGGCACAGATGAGTGAAGGGGTTTGTTCGTGTTCATGCAGTCAGGACTTGAGCTTATGTCTTACTGACTCCATGGACAGCTCTCTACCCACTATACTGTCCTGCCTCTCCAGTACCATATACCTTCTCCAGGATTTGTGACAGATGGTCATTCCGACTGCAGTGATGGTCTGTCTCCCATGAGAGCCTGTTGCACTTGGGGACATCACTCATGCTTCAGAATTATTTCTTTATATTTAGCTGAAATCTGCCTCTGTGCCTTGAGCCCTTTGTTCTTACCCTCCAGGGTCAGACAGAACTGATTTAAGATCTCTAGCTCAGGAGTTCTTCACCTTTTTTTCTTTTTCTTTTCTTTTCTTTCTTTTTTGTGGTCACAGGCCCCTCTGGCATCAGTTTAGGGGAGCCTGTAAACCATCCTCTCAGAATAATGTTTTTAGATGCATAAAATAAAATGTAGAGGATTACCAAGGAAACCAAACATTAGGGAAGATAAAGATGTCATTTGTTTCACATCTAAGTTTATGAACTCCTTGAGATCTCTGCAGCAAGCCCTTGGAGGTCTGTGGACCCCTTGCTGTCGGTAAAGACGGTGATCATCTTCTCCATGCTAAGCATCTGTCCTTCTGACACAGCATCGCCTGGCCCTAATAGTATGTATTCTTTAACCTTTTTACCATCTTGGTCTTTGTCTTCTGAACATGCCTCTGCTTGTCGCTGTCCTCCCTTATGTGTGGGGCCTAGCTTTTTGTGGCAGCAAAGAACTGGAGACAAAACGGGGAAATCGAGAGATTTCCCAGCTCTCTGTGGTACATTAATGTAATAGACTATTCCCATGCAGTAAGAAATGACCGACATGAATCACAGGTGATATTTAAGAACTAAAGCACAGTGAAATAAGTGAAACCAGAAGGACAGCGTGCACAGGAAGTGAAACGACGTAAAAGACAATGTTGGTGACACTCCAGGGTCTATCAGGGTTTGAAAACATCTAGGGCTAGAACACTGAACAAAATTCCATAAGATGAAATTAATAACAGGAAGTATAAAGTTGTACACTTGGTTTAACAAAATCAACTTTGCTAGTAGAAGATGGGGAAGGCGTATCTGGATAAGCCATTCATCTGAATGTGATCTGGGCATCTTGGCGGATTGCTTAGCACAGTGTGAATTACCTGATGTTATGGTGGGCCAAAAAGTCGGGTGATGGTCACACAGCCCCCAGAAATAAGGATGTGATGACCGTACCTGTCCTCTGGACTGCCCTGTCCATGCGGGGTGCCGCGTGGGGGATGACCATTGATAAGCTGGAGAGCGTCCGCTGGAGAGCGTCCACAGGAGAAGCTCTCGGGATAGGGAAGGGCCTCATGCCCCTGCTCCGTGAGGCTTTGGGGAAGGAATAAGCAGTGATTTTTGAGGAGAGACAGCGAACTTGGTCGTAGTCTTTACTTTGTGAAGGAGTTTCCTTTAGGTATTCATTCTTCAGAAGTACAGAGGGCTGACGCGGGGTGGTGAAGCATGTGGAGTGCCACCTGTTGTGTTTGTTGTGATGTGTCCCCCCAGCCCTTCCAGGGATAGGGGGGAGTAGATGGCCACTGAATTTCTTTCTGTCTCTGATATTGTAAAAAGAATTCAGTTCAGATCTATTGAACAAATGTTTTAGCACATCTTCTGGGTGTGTGACACTTTAGTGGACACTACAGAGCTGTTAGAAATGAATCGGATAAAGTCTCTGCCTTCTCAGTGCTTGTATTTTTCTGGGGGTGTGGGGTATGTGGGTTTTCATGGAAGACTGGTGCCTCGGGTGTGAGGGCTGCTTTCCACCTCTGGTGTCCACCTGTCACCTGTGGCTCCAGGAAGCTGCGGCGTGCACAGCAGCCATCACGTCTCTGCAATGGGCCAAACCAGGTTGAGGATAACCAGCAGGCCTCAGGCCATTTGGTGAGTTAGGGGGTTGTGTGCACCGAACATGTGAAGACTTCCTCTGGCAGAATGGGCAGTCCCAGGGCGGTGGGGTTGCAGGGCAGGGTGTTGCTCTCTTAGACATCGCTGGCAAGATTCTCGAGTTCTCCTTTATAGACTGCTTCTTCACCTGGAAGATGGTCATCTACCTGAGAGCCGTGTGGCCCTTCACAAAGGTCTAGGGAGCAGCTGATATGATGCTTGTTGCCTGACAACTCTAGGAGAAATGCCGGGAGCAGAGCAGAAGTCTGCTGAACAAGGCCTTTGATACTGTCAGTTGTGAGGGCTTGTGGAAGATCATGGCAAAGTTTGCTTGTGTGGAGAAGTTCATCAGTGCTGTATGGCAGTTCCATGACGGCATGCTTGGGTGGGTTCTGGATAACGGGTGACGCTCTTGAGCTTTCCCAGTCACTAGTGGGGTGAAGCAAGTCTCTGTGCTTGCTCCCATGCTTTTTTTTGGTGAGGCAGGTGAGGTTAAGTGAGGTGCCCAGGGTCACACAGCTATTAAGCGCCGAGTGTCTGAGGCTGGATTTGATCCAGGTCCTCCTGACACCAGAACTGGAGCTCTACCCACTGCGCCACCTAACTGCCCCCTCCCACGCTTTTTAACATCATATTTTCAGTGATGTTGTCAGACATCTTCAACGAAGACAAAAACAGTATCTGGGTCAGCTGCTGCACTGATGGTGAATGATTTAACTTGAAAAGGCTACAAGCCAAGACTGAAGTACAGGGAGAGTTGGTGTGTGACTGTTTGTTTTTCAGATCATTGTGCACTCAGTACAGCCTTTGAGGCGGAGAGGCAACAGAATATAGCTCAATTCTCTGCCATTTGTGCTAATTTTGGCCTAACAGCGCCATGAAAACAGAGGTCCTCTATCAGCCAGCACCGCATTATCTGTCAATGTAAACGTTGGAGAAATTTTGAATCTTACGGATAAATTCACTTACCTTGGCAGTGTGCTTTCCAGGATGTCCACTCAGAGGATGAGGTTGACACAGGCATTGCCAGAGCTAGCTCAGTGTTTGGGAGGCTCTGAAGAAAGTGTGGGAGAGAAGAGGGATTAGTCTGCCCACTGGACTGAAGCTCTACAGAGCTGTTGTGCCGACCTCAGTGTTCTTTCCCTGAGAAGCCTGGACAGTCTGCCAGCGCCGTGCCAGGAAACGGGTTTGCTTCCACTCGAATTGTCTTAGGAAGATTCTGAAGATCCCCTGGCAAGATTAGGTGCTTTCTTGAGCTAGACTGCCAGGCATTCAAACTCTTCTGCAGAGAGTGCACGGTATGCTGGCCATATTGTTCAAATGCCAACCGTACATTTGCCTAAAAGACTGTGTTATGAAAAACTCACGCAGGGTAAGCTTTCACATGGAGGTCAGAAGAAGTGATACAAGGACCTTCTCAAGGTCTCTTTGAAGACCTTTGGAATTGATTGTGTGACAGGGAGGCACGTGACCGCCCAGCATGGCGTGCCCACGTCAGAGAAGGTGCTGTGCTCCATGAGCAAAGCAGAAATGAAGCAGCTCAAAAGAAACATGAGATGCACCAGCCTACAGACATCTCCACCCCACATGTTCACATGGGCTGTTTGTGTCTGACCTGTGGTAGAACATTCTGAGCTCGATTTGGCCTGATCGGCCACGGTCGGACGCACTGTACTTTGACTCCAACACAGTGATGCCATTTTGGTCCTCTTTGAGTATATATGAAGGCCAACAGCCATTTTTCTGGGGTTCTGCGTCTCCTTTCCAGCAAGGGCCCCCGTGGCAGGTACAGCCTTAGCTCGCCCTGGCTGACGGCTTGTGAAGAAGAACCAGACGACAGCAGGGAAAGCCCTAGGTCCCTGGAAGCCTTGCTGGCCTCTGTGCCTGCAGCCTCCTTCCCAGCTGCCTCTGGACGTAGTGACGCTGCCCCGTGGACATGCTGATGAGCTGGGGATTGGCTGCAAGGGAATAAAGGAGGGAAGTGCTCCATCTTAAGACGGCATGTGGAAGGCATGTCGTCCCCATCTGGGGAATCGGGAGGCTATTGTAGCAGAGGCATTTGCCAAGCAGTTTGGCCACTGATGGACTGAAGGACCTTTGTTTACTTGATTTTCCTGCTTTTTGATTTCTTGTAGTTTCCTAAATAGTATGTGAAGGCCTGGAGGCAGGAGATGCACGAGGCTGAAGAGTGGTGGGTGATCCTGCAGCTGTCAGTCAGTGGATGCCAGGTGGACCCCACATGTGTATTGTAGAGGCTTTACCAAGTCTGTCACTCCAGAGTGCAGCTTTTTGGGCACCAGTGTTGTCAGTCATCTTTACACGAGGCTCTGGACCATAAGCGTTCTGAGAGGGTGTAAAAAGGGCATCAGGCTTTTTGCAAAATTCCCTTCTGAGGAAACTGGTAGCATTTCAGGTATAACTGAGTCACTCTGGTGGAAGCATGATGTAGGGTTCCAGAATCGTGCTGGGAAAGCGTAGTGGGGTTGGTCTCTGTGTTTCCTTATCCGTCCTGACCAGGCCAATCATTGGATCCCAAAGGTGACGTAAAGGCAAGACTAAAGCAGGTGCTCTCAGGCCAGAGAGAGGTCGTGGAGATGAGGGAGGGGGCCTTCAAGTCACTGTGGCCTGCTGTGTCGGATTGTGTGCCGTTTGGGGAGGGAGGCCGAGAGGGAGGGGGAGAAAAATTTCAGACTCAAAAGCTCATGGAAGTGGTTGTTGATAAATCAAATTAAATTAATTTTAAAAAATCCCTGTGGCCTAGCTGAGGGCAAGGGGCAGACAGGCCTTGAGGACTTAAAGGAGGCCAGTATCCTCATTTGTCAAAGATTGGCTTGGATCGATCTCCAGTATCCTTGATGGCACTACAATCTTACTATGTTCTTATTGTGCCCAGGCTCAAGGACCTCCCAATCTACTTGGAAAGGCAGAATGAAGCCTTGACTTCTCAGAGCTCTAGAAGCAGTTGTATGAGCCAGCACTGCCTTAGCTGTTGGATTAAAGTGTCCGCACAAGCTGAGCACTGTGAATGAATTATCAGGTAGAAAAGAGACATTTCTCTTTGTTTCAAATTTGGCAGGCCACTTTGACTTAGCTAATGTGCGTCACTCCAGCTTTTGCTGGCATTAGAAGATTTGAGTTTTCTACTGAAAAAATCCAAAATACATTGGATAGATCAGATGAATGGATGTGCCAACTTCCATCTGGCTCCCAGTGAGGGCAGCCCTGAAGGGAAGTCGAGAAATAGGATAAAATAAAGTGACTTTCAAATGCACCAGGATAAAGTCTTGTTACTGAGATAACTTTATTTTTTTTTTTGAACATGTGGTTGATTTTATTTTGGGGATGAAAAGAGAGAGGATAAAATAGGGCCATCTGCAAGAATCTGGCCTTTTAAAGGCCACAGCTTCTCTTCTGAATTACGTTTGTCCAGGAGGATTTGCAGTTTTTCTGCATCTTGTCATGGGAGGCAACCTCGGTAGCAGCTGTCGACTCTGCTGCTGCTCTGGAGGGAGTCATTTTCCTGATTGACGATGCTCTGACTCTCACAGCATGACTGTATTGAACCCCCATTTTCCTGCAGATAGCTAGGCCGACTGCCACAGCTCCCCGTTCACTGTGTCTGAGGTCATTTCTTTCCCTGCCCCCGGGGGCATGCACAGTATTGTCATCATCTGTCCTAGAACATCGGAGAGGGATTCCTCTGCACTTTGGTGTTGGCACTTTGGATGCTTTGTTCCTTAAAGATGATGGTATCCCAAGCTCTTGTTCCGCAGTGTGAGCATTCAGGCCCAGCCTGTGGAAGTCTTGGAGGGAGGTTTGAATTAATTCTCTAGCTCCAAAGCAATGGGCTTTCCTCTTTGAGTCGTAATGAAGACTGGATCTTAACCTTTAGACGACTGTCAGATAATGCTACGGTTTGATACCTTTTAACCAGGTTACCTTAAAATAGAAAAAGGTCCTACAGGCTTCAGGCGAGAGCCAGGCAGGGGCTGCAGCCCCTCCATGTCTGTCTTGTGCTCATGCCCCGTTGGACTTCTCGGATGGAATCGAAACCACAGCAGCTTCTCATCTCAGCCGAGTGGACTGAGTGAGCTGCCTTGTGTGCACACAGCTGCTTAGAAAGGAGGCCTTTCCTCTCAAACAATGACAGGTTACCATGACCTGCCGGACACCCTTATCTTGTTATAGGAAAGCCAACGCTACCTTGATGACCCTGAGTCACAATTCAGTTCTTCACATCTTTCTGCTTCCAGTGGGACACACTGTATTTTTTTAAGAAGCCTGCCTCTGAGGTCATCTTGGAGTAATTTGGGGTTTCTGTAGCTAGCACGGCCCCCACTCGGTCCTGCCTGGCTGGGGTTGGGTTGAGCTTGGGGTTTGGCAGAGGCAAAGGCAGCAGCTGCCAGTCTCTCTCCAGCCAGGCTTGAAGGAGAAGGCTTGGGCTGCTGTCAGAAGCCTCCTGAGAGTGTGCAGTTGGGGAGGGACCGAGTGGAAGGACCTTTCTGTGGTCTGGGGCTGGGGATCCTGGTGTTTAGTGGCAGTGCCCATCACTCCTGTTCATCCAGGCTACTTAGCTCAGAGAAGCCTTGCTGATTAGGCAGCATGGCACAGATTGGGGCACAGAGACTTGGAGAGGAGGAGCAGCTTTCTGGCTGGTCCATATTGAGTGAGGATTTGAAGCTGGGGCTTCTGACTCCAAATCTGGCACTTGCTCTCCTCTAGAGGCTCTTTGCCTGCTGGGAAGACCCTTTCTCAGGGCTTTTCCTTAACGCTAGAGGAAAGCTGTTAAAGCACATGGTGGGGGAGGGTGGAGGTGCAGCGGTGTTGCTGAACTGTCTGTCAGGAGCCCTACTGGCTGCCTTGGAAAACCGCGTGTGAACATATCTCTATCCTAGTGTGTTCTTATTTGTTTTGTTAAATTTGTTTCCCAACTACCTTTTAATCTGCTTCTGGTACCACTGGGGAGCGTGGCAGGGCCCTTGGACCTGGATTCCATGCCCCTGTGTTCAAGCACTCTGAATTGGGACTGCCTGGTACTGCCTGGTGCCTCTTGGGACCTCAGGCACCTGAAGAGTGTGACTCACATATTGGTTAAAAAGCAGCAGCTGTTTGACTTTGCTGCCAGCCACACCTTTACCCCTTGGACGGGAGCGTTGCTGCTCCTGCTGCTGTTGCTGCCGCTGACCGAGATTGCTTCGGGGAGGCTCTTCCAGAGCTTTGAGCATTGGAGGCAGCACAGACATGTCATTTCCACTGAGGCTGTGGAAGTTAAGGGGTTGGCTTTTTGTTGGGCAGATGCTAAGTGTTGGTTTCCAGGGTGTTTTCCAGCATCCCCTGCTGGTGGATATGAGCAGTGTCCTGAGAGGAGCACTGGCCACATCCCCGGAAGGGGGATTCTTTGATGAGGGTGTCAGAGCCTCAAAGATTGTGTGAAGTCATTGGTATCCCCCTTGGTAATGGCAGAGACTCCAGGAGCCAGGTCCACCTGGGGTTTGTGTTTTAGATGAGCTGGGTTCAAACTCTGGCTCTGCCACCTCTTTGAGGCTCACGTTTCTCACCTGCACAGTGGGATGGTTGGAGTAGATGACCTAGTAATCCATGAATTTATGCTCATGTTGTTCCAGTTACTCACTTTTGGTCCCTCTTTTGGCTTTCTTGGGGGCTGGGCGGTGGGGCAGTACTTGGCAGCACCTATCCAGAGGGGTTAGTTTCCTAAGGCTTTTATCCTTCTACATTCTCACTGGACCTTTCTCTTCTGTTCTTTTCTCTTATGTCTCTCCTCTCCAGCTGTAGTCATGTTTGGGAAGAAGTAGCCCGTCCTGTTTGGGTAAAGAACTCCCCCAAAAGCAGTGAGTAGGAAGCAGGCAGTTTTCAGTTTCCTTTGTGTTCTGGCCGCCCACCTGTAGAGCTGCTCTGCTTCTCCAGCACATTCTAGTGCTCAGGTTATCCGAGGCCAGGCCTGCTCATTCTTGCTCAGTCTGACATTAGTGCCTCCACCTTGGCTCTCTTTGTAGCCAGGTATTCCTAGGGCCAGGAGATCTGTATGATTGACATTTGTGAACCTGGGAAGGTGGCTTTCAGCTGTGATTGTGTTTCGCTTTGCAGGATGGGACCAGAGACATCTTTATCGATGGAGTTGTTGCTCGGAACAGAGCTTTGAACGGGGACGTGGTGGCTGTGGAGCTGCTGCCCAAGGATCGGTGGAAGGTCAGTTTGTCCCCCTTTGTTCCCAGGCTTCTCCGGTCTTGTTCTGATCTCTGGAGCCTCCTTGGGCTGGAGAGTTGGGGCGGTTAAATGGGCCTGAGCCACAGCAAGGCTGATGGCTCGCCTGCGTATCTCTAGCGTGTTGGGACTTAGGGATTCCCCCTGTTTTCCTGCTGCTTTTGCTCCTTCACTTCTTTGTCCTGCTTGTCTGTGAGGGAGAAGAGGAGCTTTTGAGAGCAGGCCTCATTTGTATGGCCCGAACTCAGAGCAGGGGCTCAGGATGGAAGGCGGCGCTGGGGAATAGGCTTCCGTGTCCATGCCCAAACCCTGCTGTGTACCCTGTGCCTCCGGAGGGTGAGGGTGATGATAGCAGTGACAACTCAGTCGCTGAGAGGGTGTCGGCAGCTCTCTTAAGCCTCTCCGGTGCATGTTGGGGGCTCATCTACATTAGGGCAGTGAGTTTCCTCCCTGGGTATTCCCAACACCTGTGATATCCCGTGTCTAGTAACAAAGGAGGAGGCTTTAAGGTTTGCAAAATGATTTTTTCCCACAATAACCTTGTGCACTAGGGAGTATGAGAATTGTTGTTACCATTTAGCATATGAAAAAACAGAGACTCGGAGAGGGTAAATAACATGTTTCATGTCCAGCTAGTGAGGAAGGATTCAAAGCAGCTCTGATTGACTTCAGGGCCTTTGAACTGGTTCATGAGTTGGACAAGTCCCCCAGCTTCCTCATTTGTAAATGAAGACTCTAGAACACAGTTGGATAAGTGAGCCTCTTTCAGCTCTAGTCCTCTGATCCTTTTGACCCTCTGTTAGTTTCTTTTTTAAGTTTGTTCATGCGTGACAAGTTGTATATTTACTTTCTGCCCTTCTGATTCTGTTCCTCATCCACTTTTCAGTATTTTCCTATCCTAGTATGTATTGCCAAAGAGGTCATTGCATGCCTCATCAGCCAGTTCAGGAGAAAGGCTAGACTGTGTCCTGGCATGTGCCAACAGATCAGAGCTTGGCATGGTAGGTGAGGCTTCCCCTTCAGGTCTGCCTACATGGATTGAGGTGTCTGGACCAAGTCCTCTCCAAGCTACTTTTCAGGCTCACCTAGTAGAGGGCCCTGGGCAGGCGTGTCTCTACTTGATGATAACCGTCCCTTAAAAGACAGACATGTTGTCCTGCCAGCTCTGAGCATGTGCAGTGGTGTCGTGAGCTGTTGGGACAGAAAGCATGTTGATGGGCAGCTGGGCTGCAACCTGGTCATTCTTAGTCTCTTTTGGATTCATCCTCTGCAGCTCCAAACCACCCCCTCTTTGCATTGGATTGAATTAGATGAAACTGACTTGAACTAAACATCTCTTGAGATTGCACCTTTTTATGTTTGTGCTGGACTCAAGGTGACCTGGTAAGATACGGCCCCTGCCTTTCCATAGCCAACAGTCATGTTGGGAAGATGAGACATTAGATAATTCTGAGCACGTGGAATAGTGATGTCACGCTCCAGGATTATAGTGAGTGGGAAAATGCATCTAAATCCACTTGCTGTCTTTTCTATTTTAGAAAAAAAGAAGTAGAAAAACAGAGGTGGCAGAAATCAATGGGAGTTGTAGTATCAAGAAAACTCCATGGAAGAGGTGGTGATATGGTGATACATGAGTTGGGGATTCACGTCTCTGCAGACAGCAGGGTATGACGAAAAGAACAGTGGTTGTGAACTTTAAAAAAACACCTTGGTCAAAGCATGGTAGCATGGAGTCACTCTCAGATTTGGGAGGGCACTCACAGGCTGTGTTGTCTAGTGTTCGTGCAACAACCATCCTGCTTGCGTGGTCCCCAACTCTTTTCTTTAGTACCTTTGGGGAGGGGTAGTTGACCACTTCACATGGGGCACTGCTCTGATCTTTAGGGAGTTTTCCCTTGTGTTGAACTGGGATCTGTCTCTCCATAATCACTTCCTCTCCTTGCTCCAGGTTTTGCCCTCTAGCAACAAGTAGAATAAACCTTGGCCCTCTTCAAAGGACAGCCCTTCATCTCTTTGGAGATAGTTATTCTGCCTTCCCAGAGCTGTTTTGTCTCTGGGCTAAAAACCCCTTGGCTCTTGTCCATTGTGAGGAGGAGATCTTTCATCATCTTGGTACCTGTGCCATTCCTGGGTTCTCTCCACCTTATCAAGCTCTTTTCACAAATATGGTGCCCAGACCTGAGCCCCATGCTCTGGGGAAGGTCTGTGGAGAGCAGATGGTGGTAGGCCTATTCCTTCCCTTACTGGCTGAGACAGCCAAGTATCTTGGCTCTAACACATAGTTTTTTTATTTAAGTTGAAAAAAATTATTTTAAAAAAAATTTTGAACTTAACAAAAAAAAAAGAGCATTTTCTATGAAACTGTGAATCTTTATTTCATGTTACTTTCAGAACATCTTGCTTGTCTGTGCTTCACTCTTAATTTCCTTTGGGTCTTTTCTGTGCAGATCACATGTTTTTTCAATAGCCCCTCTCTGTATTGCCTACCTCTGCTTCTTTTCCTCACCACAATTAAAAAACTGAAAGCAGGAAAAAAAGCCCCACCTTTGTAACAAATAAGCATGGTCAATCAAAATGAATCCACATGTGATCATGTTCAGAAATGTCTATTTGCTGCACCTTGAGGCTGTCACCTCTGGCGGGAGATGGGTGACATGCTTCATTACTGTCTGCCCTCTGGAGAAATAGTGGCTGGCTCACTGCATGGAGCAGACTTCTGAAGGCTCCACCACGAGGCTGCTGTCCTTGTGTATGTTCTTCTCCTGGTTCTGCTTGCTTCCCTCTGGATCCCATCCTACTACCCAGGATTCTTTGTGTTGCCTATTTCTTCATTTCTTATAGCATAGTAATATTCTACTACATTAATAGACATAATTTATTCGTTTATTCTCCATATGGAGGCACTACCTTAGATTCTAGTTCTTGACTTTTTTTATTCTCCTGGACACCCCCCAAAGCCCCCCTTCAGGATCAGGGAGTTTGTTTTGCTTGAAACTTCCCTTCCTGATATGATCTTCACAACTTCCCCTCCCCATCCCCACTTGTTTCCTTGTTCAGTTTGATATGTTTCTACACCAGACTGTGTGTGTGTGCACACGCAACTCTCTGAGGTTAATCTGGTGACCATACTCCTCGCCCCTTCCTCTGTAGTTATCTACTCTTCTTACTTCAGTGATGAAAAATAGCAAATTCAGCCCCCTTCTTTTCTATCCTAGTTTATTCTGTTTACTCTCTCCCTTCTCTTTTCCCTCTCAAACCCCTCAGAACAAAAGCAGTCTGCACTGGGTCCTCCGTTTTATTTTTTGGTTAGTGCTCCCTGTGTGTTTGAAGACTGAAGGTCTGAAGGGGCACCTGTTTCTTTCCCTCCTGTTCAGATGTTAGCTTTGCAGCATCATACAGCCCCTTCCAACAGCTCAAATAAGTCTTTTTGACTCTGGTGTTTGCATTTCAAGTTTCTCCTCAGTTCTAGTCTTTTCATCAGAAATACCTATAAATCCTCTCTTCTACTGAAGGTCCATTTTTGCCCTATAGGATTATGCCCAGCCTTTCAGGCTAAGTTTTTCTTGGTTTTAAGCCTGTTTGTTTTGCCTTTTGGAATATTGTATTCCAAGATCCCCTCTTATTTTTAGTAGAAGACAACAAGTCTTATGTGATTCTGTCCATGATTCCTTGATATGTGAACTACTCCTTTCTGGATACTAGCAGTATTTTTTCTTCGAGGTGGATACAAGACAAAATGAAAAAGTCTTTGTACTTGTTCTGCATTTATTGGTGTAATAATGTGGTTTGACTTCTTGGTATGTCATATTAATTATTTTCCTGATACTGAACTAACCTTATATTCCATGTGTGTATACACACACACTGTTTAGTAATAGTAGATAATTTTTTTTAAAGTACTCTTTTCTCTTGCCAACATTTATTTGCTGGTGTATATATGTGTGTGTGTGTGTGTGTGTGTGTGTGTGTGTGTGTGTGTGTGTGTGTGTGTGTGTGTGTGTGTGTGTGTGTGTGTGTGTGTGTGTGTGTGTGTGTGTGTGTGTGTGTGTGTGTGTATTATCATTTATTATATTGGCCTTTAATTTTTTTTCACCTTTACCTTTTCCAGGTTTTGAGAGTCAAAGCATTTGTGAAATACCACCTTTCTGTATATTTCAAAACAGTCCATCTTAATGGTTTCCAACCTTTTGTGTATGAGGACTCCATTTTAATGTGGAAAAAAACCCTTTACATATGCCCATATTATAATAGTGATGATTGGGAAAATGCATAGTGAAGAGAAGTCTGAATTTGTGGGCCCCTTGCAATAACACAGCCCACTTGTTGAGTCTGTGTAATATAGGGATCACGTATTCTTTGAAGGCAGAGGAATTATATCAGCTAGCTCAGTGGGTTGTCTATCAAGTTCATGTCATGATCTGGACAATATATATTTTTCATCCACTTTTTTTGTGTATGTGGATGACCAAACTAGTGCATTTCTACTTTTTTTGAATTCACTGAAGAGGCTTTGTGGTGTTCCTGGGTTACGAAGTGAGTAGAGTGTCATCTGTGATGAGAGCTGGTTATGTCACTATTTCTTTATGCTTGCATCAAATAGTAACACATATAATGTCACATGTATCATTTTATAGACGAAAAGTAGACAAGCCTTATGTCCTTCAGAATTTACTGACTTCTCATGATTATCTGCGTTATCATAAGTATTTGTAGTTGTTTCGTATTTACTTGAAAAAAATATGTGCTCTTTGATTTTACCCTCAGGCGTTAAAGCCAGCTTGTGGGACAGTGTATTCTGTCTCCCCTCATTTGTAATTGTGTTTGATTTATTACTCTTTCACTATTGTTAATTTGTTATATTGTTTTCTTTTTGGAGGCAGTTGCAGGTGAGTGACTTACCCAGGGTCACACAGCTAGTAAGTATCCAATGGCGGATTTGAACTCAGGTCCTCCTGACTCTGGTTCTGGTGCTCTATCCACTGTGC